AGACACTTGTAGGATATTTATAGATGTGCCTACCATGTATGTTCTTTTTATTGATAGTTGTAGATTATTGGTATATATATTAAAACTATTATTGTTTATTTTTATATTATACCATTATTTATTTAATTTTTATATAATATAATCATATAATTATTGTTCCTCCTCCCTGAACTTCTCTCAAAATTATGTCTATGTTGTCATTTTCTTGTCTATCAAACTATGAGTGAAAATTTGATGGAGTCGAGTCGAGTGAGTAAAAAGTTTGAATTATTAGAGTTGAAGAATCATATTTATAACTCAAACTTGACCCCAACTGTAGTTGCAATAGCAAGAATTAATCCAAAAAAAAAAAAAACTCTTCAAAAGCTGTTGATCTCCTAACGTTAAGGAAGTAGGTAGTGATAGGAGGAAGAAGAGAGACCCTCTAATGCCAAGGAGTGGAGTCGATAATAGCAACTCGTTGCTTGTCTGAATACTTCAGATGGTAGAGTTCACCCTGGAGTCTTACCACATGGGGACAAGATTGAATATGCGCTTTAGCCTGTCAAACCAAGAGATCAAGAATAAAGAGATAAAATAGTGATCGTGAAAATAAAAATTGATGATATTTGAGCTTGAAATATATCTGGTGGAGATTGGGCTACGGAGGAGCAGATTCCTCCATGTTTTCTTACCCCTGCATTTTAAGGTGCCAAAGGAGATCTATGATGGGACTAGAGACCCCAGTGAGAACTTGTCCCAATACATGAACTACATGGATATAATATGGGACTTTTACGAGCTGAAATGTAAGGTCTTCCTGACCATTCTAAGAAGGATAGCCAAGAATTGGTACAAATTGATGCCCGTGACAATTGTAGGGGACTTCAAGTAGTTTTGCATATGTTTATCGGACAATTTTTGGCCAACAAAGCGGTTCTCCACTCAAAGGTCAGCATGCCTAGTGTGGTCTAGAGGCTTGGTGAGCTTCTAAAGCACTATACGAGGAGATTCTTTAGAGTCAGGCATAACATTCGTGACCTATTAGATGATTGGGCAGTCTTCACGTACATCTATGGGCTTCAGTATAAGCCCCTAAACTATGTCTTAATAGACTACATCTACAGGCTTCGACATATGCCCTTAAAGTATGCCTTAATAGATTACTGGCAAACAAAGATTATCCTACTGTATGAGGTAGCTAACAGGAATGCCAAAGCGAAGGGAATGAAATACATAACTAATATTGGCCAGAGTTCAACTCTCCCGCAATCTACCTCGCAGAGTCAGCGGACCAGGAAGCATCCAAGGGCTTCATCGAGGTTCTATGAGTCCTAGAGGGTTAACCATGGTACTGAAAGTTACTCATCCCTGGGTAGCAGGGGAGATGACAGAAACAAGTCAGACTATCTCCAACAAGTTAATGTAAATAACTAACCATGGAAGGGACCATTTAAGGCCTACACCAACTACACGTTCCTCAACACTTGATTATTTGAAATCTTTCATCAAGTCGGAGACTAGTGTTTTTGAAGTACCGTTCTCTATGAGGTCGGAGACCTGACTGAATGTCACCCACTTCTGCTAACATCACAAGTAGATGGGACACACTATCAAGTGATATGTTCACCTCAAGGACACAATGGAAGAAAAAGTTAGAAAAGGCACCAAACCAATTTATGTAAAGAGACGGGTACCAAAATGAGGTCCAATCAGAGGCACATAAAGATAGGCATGTTCGAGAGTCATCAATTAACGTTTCGTACTGAACTATTAGTGCAAAATACACTACTAGAGCGAATCAATTCTTAGTAGATATGGCTACCATTAACGTTCATCACTACGATGTTACTATACCACTTGAACTAGATTCAAAACGGTTCAATAGGGGATATAGTGAGGGAACTTTCTAAGACACGCAAGTAATCACACCTTGGTAATCGATATCTAGCCTACGACGATTAAAAAATATCTCGTAATGGCCCTTCGGACTACTTGCACAAGTACTGAGAAAACCTCCTCTTAACACATTGTGTAATGTTGAAGCATCAGAGTTTTACTTCCTCCACTTGAGCATCAAAATTCTCCAAGAATAATTTTTTGTTTCTCTTATCCTCCGTTATGTGCATATAACGTCAAGATGACCCCTCTCTGGTCAAAAGCATTGAACTGCATCAACTATATCCCAACTAAAAGGATTTCTCCAGTGTCTCTTCATCGTCCAGCCAAGAGAGTTGAAATGTCTTTGTTATGTATAGATAAGCATTGAGATATCTGCGCCCACTTTCTATAGTTTTCCTCCAAGTGCGTCGAGATGTCTGTGCTCATTATGCAGTATCTGTACTGAGTAGCCAACTATTGATTGGGATTTGAGCGTATGCATCCCTATCCCCTGGTTAAAATACCGGTTAAAGTGTTTTTATAGTTGTTTGGACGATAGATGATACTTGTATATAGATAAACTAGCCCAGTAAGGTATTTTAACCGGTAACAAAAATGACACTTTAACGTTATAAAATCAAATAAGAGAGTTGAAACAATTAAGAAAGTATATCAACTAAGAATGTATATCTCAATGTTTATATAGATACTTGACATTCCATTAAGTTTTGCGATTTTAGAACTTTGGTCCAAGTTCCGAAACTATAGGGTAGACTGATCAACTTAGTTCCGAAACTTTCTGTACAAAAATGACAAATATTCCTTTTAAATCCTAAAATTGTTAATAAGTCTTTATTTAGTCCTAAGATTGATTAACTTGTAATAACATGATTCTTAAAGACTATGAAGAGAACGTTAGCTTGTATAATGATTCAAATGGATATTTTAGGTAATGACATTGAATTTTAGATTGATCTGTAAGTCGTTCCTTTAAACTTTATGTAATTACAATTTAGTCTATAAACTTTTGAAAAGTTTCAAATTGGTCCCTAGGCATCATTTTGGATTAATATTGGATTATTAAGACTGATTATGCTTTAAAGTATTATTATTTGAATATATGTCTAATGTATGATGTTTGCTTATATTTTTCGATCTCATGATTTTCTGATTAAGTTCTCGAACATTTTGGAAATTACAATATGGTCCTCGAGCATGATATTCACATATTCACTTGCCTAAATCTGGTCCAAAGTACAAATCTCAATTTTTATCCAACTTCATTATATTATAATGGTAGAGTTGGGGTAAGGTTGATGTTAATCCTACTTCTAGCATTGATATTTTCCGTACGAAAAAAATTCAATTTAATCCAAAATATAAATTTCAAAATTTACCTAACTTCATTTATACTAGAATGACCCATCTAAATTTATTTAGGATATACATGCCAATTATAGTCCCCCGCGTAGGCAAGGAATTTATACTTTTTTTTTATTAATTTATGAGATTATAAGGTATTATCTGTTTGAAAAACTTATAATCATTTCATAATGAATATTTATATACATCTATAATGTTGTCCTCAAACCTGAGACCTCAAGATATAATAATTTCCCTTTCAATTGCTAAGATCATTTGGTTGATATAACCGACTAATCCAGATTGAGTACTGTAAAGACAAGGGCGACCCTCCTAACTCAGTTTGCTCCATTTGCAAAAGTTAGAGTTCAAACCTCTACCCTTGCTTAACGAATCTAATACCTCATCCAACTAAACCAACTAGTTATTGGTAAAACTAATTTAAAAATATAACTAATAATACAAAAATATGTTAGTATATTTACAAATATGAATAGTAAAAAGGGGTTATTAGGTCGGTATATACATATTAAAAATATTATTGTTTCATTTTTATATTATAGTATTATTTATTTAATTTTTATATAATATATAAAATAAAACTATTATAAGATTAAAAAAAATAGATATGATAAGAGCATAGTTTTGTCCAAATTCATTAAGATTCAAGTTTCATCCTTTTTCAAGAACACATTTGTTAAGTTTAATATTTTTGTCCAAATTCTTCCAAATGGTGGATAATTTCTTTGAAATAGTCTGGGATAATTATAAGATAATATATATTCAGAATATTTCTTAATCATTAACAACACACACAACCTACAAACGTAACTGCTCAAACCTAGGACCTCTAAGAAAAACAATACTCCTTTTAATTACTTAGGCCACTTGATAAGTACAATATTTGATAAATCTTTAAATTTAAACAAATAATTTTATTAAATTGCAACATTTCTGTATTAAAAATGCTATTGTGACAATTTTTTTCCAATTAGAGGTGCTTCCTCGATTAACACTCTCTTGACATTATTGCAATAGGAAGAAATGAGAACCTCTGGCTAATCTAGCCATCAACATGGTATAAATATTCTACCTACATACATGCAAGGATGGACAAAAGCTGCCTACATACATGCAAGGATGGACAAAAAGAGCGGGTGAGACAATCTCTTAAAAATTTTAAATTCTTACATATTTTATATATTTTCAATTGAAAATATATTTTCGTCCCCTACAATTTAAAAATAAACCCTCCTTTAGAATTCTATAAATTCGATTCCATAACATAAAATCTTCATCCTCCTTGAATTGCAGGGCATTTAACAGTACAGTAAAATCAGCCAATCTCCAGTAAAACGCCAAAATGTCTAAGCATATGCAGTTTGAATAATTTTCTGTCCGAGCAACCTGAATAATGAATCCACATTCCACTATTTTTCTTAATATTCTAAGCTGATTACAAGATAGTTTCTGTTTATAATCTTTCTTAGTCATTGACAACGCGCAAACACACCCTGCAGACGTAATTGCTCAAATCATAACCTCAAGAGAGAACAACACTCTATTTAACTACTGAAACCCCCCAATGAGGTTCACATTCCACCATTTTCTTTCGTTTGAAACTCGCATAAATACAGGTGCTACTAAGAACCTCTTATAGATTACAAGCAGCCTTCCAAAAGAACTCAAAAAACAGAGTTCATTATTTTACCACAAACTCTTTACTAAGTCGAAGAAACAATCAACATATAAACTGAGTACATTCTTCGAAAACTTACCGAGCAAACATGGAAGAGTGATTAAGTTTAATTTGAGAGTGAATATGGTAGACCCCTTAATCACCAGACAAGCATCTCAGGCAATTACACTTGAAACCAAAACCTTGAGACAAGAGACTTTGTCTAGCATCATAACTCATACTGACGTCGATGTAACATATCCGAAGCTCTTCACCTACAAGATTCTCAAGAAGATGTGTCATTCATAAAATCAGGATACCACTGAAGCGGTCTTTAGGAGCCAATAGTAAAGACAGCTAAACAACTTCGAAAGACCAGACCAGGATAGAAAGAAATATGGAAAGCCAGCAGTATAAGGCACACCTTCATCGATGTCACTGAGCGCCTTCAGTTTTGCATCAGCATTCTCTATCCACACGATGTGTGTGTTTGGATCTGTAATTCAATATTAGCAATTTTTTAACACCAACAATATAGCATCACTATGTTTCATACATGATACAGCACATATGTGGTAGTTTCTTTGTTTTTAAAACTTTTAAAATGGCTTCATTTCAGTTTATTTGACTGCATCTACATATTCAATATCCCAAGCTCTTTCTGCCCATTTCTGATGGTCAAGTTGGTAAGCAGGTTATTGAATCCGGACCTCTTTCTAGAAGAGATGTAGCAACATTTCATAAAAATTCAACCAACACAATTAGGTAGCATTTGGAACTTGGATTTCAAAAATCGATTAGGATCCTATTGAATCTCAACTATTTATCAACAATGTATGTATTTCATTCTTACCATTTACATAGCAAACAAAGCCCAAATCCAAATTTTCAATTTCACGTTTCCAAATGGAGAATTAAGATTATGGTTGAGAAAGTAATCTTACACTAACAAACTATGGATCCTTACTTCGATATGTAATTGTGGTGAAGATGTATAATGAACCAAGTAGAAACAACAATCACTAGTAGAGAAACAAGTAAACTTGCCACAATCATGGTTGTAAAAGGATGGAAGCATGTAAATAGCGTTTCCAACTGCAGCTTCAGCTTCAATGGAGGCTGAAGCTAATGAAAGAAGATCTTCATATGCACCTGCAGCCAATTCAATACGAAAAGCATTGATATGAATTCGTGCAAGCACATCGGTGTACCATTGTTTTGTTAAGACTTTCTTCCGTCAAAGAAAACAATTAGCATCGAACCATGAAAACAAAGACATTGAGGAAAAGAAACTCATGTATTTTTATAAGTGGAGGATACAAGATGTATGTTCATCTCCAATATTTGACTTCACCAAAGCATTTCTTAGTAAATGGAATCCCTCTTCTGTCTGAAATTATCACCATACAAAAAAATTAGTACATGCCTATTAATGATTTTATAGTATGTAAGGATCAAGGAAAAGGGTAGAGTGATCCCAAAAAGAGTCCTTTACACAATGAAGTTGTAAAAAAAAAAAACACTAAGATGGATGGGAAGGAGTAAAGATCAGAATCTCATTGAAGGATGAAGGCGGAGGAAGCACTAAAAATAGAAAAATAATACTGACAATTTGTTTGTTTTGGAAAGAAATAGCAATAGTTTTTAAAGCTATTCTATTCATTTTGATTGACTATTAACCAGTTACCAAATATGTTTTGTCAGTTGGTAAAATGAATAAAGTCACTATTGTCACCCCCCCCCCCCCAAAAAAAAAAAAGATAGATGGCTCTCACCTTTAAAATCATCTCTCTAGTTAAGCTAGCTGGTTGAAGTATGTCCAGAATACCAGCAGGTGCAGCTCCTGATATGACCATACAAGCTAACCGCTTCACCAAAAGGGGAAATTTCAGACCTTGGGTCCTTAAAGACAAAATTGGAAACAAGTAAATGCTTTAACGTTTATCTCTAGCATGAATAGTAGGGTTATAAGCAAAACAGAATAGAAAAACTTAACAAAGCAATAAGATTGTAGGCACATCCACTTGAATAACACTTTCTAAAGGAAAATTTTCTTCTTTCTGATGAAGATAAATCTAAACCACGTTGTTGACCGAGAAAGTAACTTAGCCTAAAGTTTAGGATGGAAATATTTAGAATTTAATTTAGAGATTTTTTACTTTAATGTAAGATGTGAGCAAAACTTGATTCGATTTGAAAATCGACTCACTAAAAAAGGATTATATAAAGTTTGATCGATAAAGTATGACTCGTCGACTCGACTAACTCAAGATTTTTTAATTCGATTCAACTCGACTCAATCGAATATCCACCCCTAATTCCTCCATTTTAAGTTCATTTTTTACCAAATTTGAATCACATGCTCCTTTACCACTATAGAATATTTATGTAACTTTAATTCCTATTTTTAACAAGAAATTTACTCTCTTTTGAATCTAGTCCCTCAACTTTGCATTTTATTCTATTTGTTTTTTTACTACAATTTTTTGTAAATTCTTTCTTCCCATCAATTCCTTGACTCCTTTATGCTCCATCAATACTTCATCGCCAAAATACCTTCTTTAAAAATAAAATTATAAATATATTTTATAATTTTAGATGGTATTTGATCTATTAAATATCATTGCAATTTGAAAAAGAATAAGAAGAAATATTATATCTTATATGGTTAGAGAAAGTCATTAATTGGAATCAACTTGTACCATAGTTTTATAAATAATTATAATTAACTTTTAACAGAAACTCGAACAATTCACCTAGACTTGAATTTCATAAACTCAACTTGACTCGAAAAAATTTCAAATAAAGTTTGAATAATAAAGTATGACTCATCAACACAACTAACTCGAATTTTTTTTACTCTATTAGACTCGATCGTATAGACACCCCTAACCTAAACTTGTAAATAAAGCTTGTAAGATTAAGGGTTTACTTGTGAAAGAGAAAATTCAATTATTTTCTCTCAATTTTCATGTTCAACAAGGTGTCAGAATAAGAAAATCCAGTTTTTTGGGCCTGCTTTTTCTTTCTTTTTCACCAAGGCTAGAGGGTTGCAGGGTTATGTAACTGGATCTGCCAAGACATGTACATTAGATGACTCATCCTTTGATAAATGGGATTCGGAGCATAATCTCGTCTGGTCTTGGCTCATCAATTTGATGGAGCTTAATATTTCAAAGATTTGCCTATTGCTTGATACTGCGACACAAATATGAGAAGCGACACCTCTTGCATACTCTAAGATTGAAAATGCTGCTCAAGTCTATGAAATCCGGAATAAAGTTCATAACACTAAGCAATGTGAATTGTCGATTGCACAATATTTTTTCTGAGTTAAGCAGCTTATGGCAGGAACTAGACTACTATCAGGACAGTCTTCCAGGCAGACTGTACAGGAAATGCAGTTAAATTCAAGCAATTGATTGGAAAGGAAAGAGTCTAGACTTCCTCACTGATCTAAATAATAAGTGATCAGATAAGGGTTTAGGTACTTGGAAGGACACCGTTTTCTTCACTTGTGGAAATATTTGTCCATGTTCAACAAGAAAAGTCTTTTGCTCTACACAACACCTCCTGAAAATGTTGGATTGCTTGTTACTGGACACAAGAGCAACCGAAAGCCAAAAATCCAAAAAAGGATCACTTGTTGTACGAGTATTATGGGAAGTCAAGGCATGCTAAGGAGACTTGTACGAAGCTACATAGTCGACCTATTAAAAGCAGGGGCAGAAAACGAGTTGGTTTCACTCGTAATCAAGCTAATCTGTCTGAAACCACGGGGTCATCTAAGGAGACAACTTTTACTGAGAAATTTTCTGCAAATGAAATTCAACATCTCTGATGTCTTCTGTCTCTACTTGGCTCCTCTTCCAATATAACATCCAACTTTGTCAGTGAGATAACATAATGCTTTTAAAGCACATAATAACTTTGAATCTTGAATTATCGATTTTGGTGCAAATAGACACATGACAGAATCCTCTACAACCTTAATTACTCTCCAACACAGAGGAGTTACAGGTGTTATCATCCTTTAACCCAGAAGTATTTCATCAGAATGGATGTTACTTTCCCTGAAGATGAATTGTAATTTAGCACAACTCAATCACCTCTTCAATGGGAAATGGAAGAGAAAAGATGATTCCTATCTCTGTTTGTCTAGAAGTTTTTATTCCTAATTATTGAGTTCTTTTCGTAATTAAATTTGAACGTACATCAATATATCTTTCCCTTATAATCCCATTAGTAACAAGAATCTTGCTGTAACAACTCCCCATTAGATGCTGCTAGTTGTTAATTTACTAAATTCCTTCCATAAACCAAATAATTTTCAACTTTTCCTAGCCTAAGTCCAGAAAGTGATTACTGAAAACTTATTCTCTCTATCCCAAAACATGGAAGAACTAAGAAATGAAGTATACAACGCAGATACGGATGAAGGAATCAAGTGACACCCTAGTGAACTGTAAAATGTTTCTAAGCTAACTTTCTTACCTGCAGTATTCATCAAATGATAGCCAATCTGCTTTCTTCTCAACGTCATAAAAAACCTGCACCCAATGTCGAGGCCCAAATTAATAGTATAAAAACAAAAAGACCATCACTCTTTTTTTTGGGAGCGTATAAATTGTTATCTACTTCAATGTATAAAAAAGAATAAAATTAGTACCAGTAGTTTTCCCCCCCTTTCAGTGACTTCTCTATGTTTTCAACTTCTAATTAGATTTCATTTATAATGGCTTGAAGTTATATAATCAAACATTTGGTAGGCTCCCAGCTCAAACGACTTGGCCAAACTCAATCTTCAACTAATTGGTTACTACAACAAAAACCCACATAAGAACGATAGCAAGAAGAGCAAACCCATTTAACCTTGGAGCTTTCTCTGCAATTTTCACAGCAAAAGCAAACACCTTGAGGTTGGGATCCAGTAACAGTTCTCATCTTTTTTAGGCAAAAGTAACACACAGTGTTAATAGCAGAGAGAGACGGATAAGATACGATGGGTTTAGCAGTGTGGATGGTGTCTCCGGCACCGATTCTCCGAGTGGCGAACACACCTCTACCAGCTGACTCGGTAAGTGCAACTCGGATCGGAGGCGGAGAGGGTGCATTCGATAGCGAATCATTTTTGTTAGGTGGGGTAACGGTGGCGGCGGAGGAAGAGAATAAAACGAGCGCGTTGGGAATATAAAGGGTCCTGAAACGGGAACGCCACAAGGTCGAAGCCATTAGTGACATTCTCATATTGTTTGAACGTTGATGACAGAAATGAAAAGAAATGGCGATTGGAAATGGCTATGGTTGTAATGTAACAGTTAACAATCTCCTTTATAATTGTATCACCTTCTTCAAGCCACTATATGTACCATCACCAAGGCCTCCACTTTTTCGTTCTCAAGTTCTTGAGTCGATTGGATTAAAGTTTAATTTACTCTCGAATTGAATAACATCGATTTGAACAATTTGTCTTGAATTTTTAATGTGAACACACATTTCCGTCTATATTTATAAATAAATTTATATATTTTTTACTAATGTTTGTGACAGGCCCAATGCCCAATGCCTAATGCCCAGTTACAAAATGGACAACAATAAACAAAACTCGAAGACCAACCATAGCCCAACAGCAGCAGACCCAGACTCAACTGAAGCAACCTGAACCGACCAAGTTACAATCCATATAGTTAGGGTTTTTAAACCCTAAATTTTTTCCTTCAACGTCACATGCCCAGCACCGTTGGATCAACAGGCCACGATCCAACGATCAAAGTGATTGCTTGGAGAGTCTCGCTCCGGCCGCAGCACCCACCACTCCGAGATATCCGGTGCACGAAAAGTCACGACAAAAACATAAAAGAAGTTAGCCTCCGTGAATCTCTCAACCAAGCAAAAAACAAATGTCTTTGAGTCCTAATAGGAGTCTAACCGAACTAAAAATAGGGTCTTTTTGTGACACGAAGCATAAACAAAAATGACACAAAGAAATCACTCACGAGATACGCAAGAAATTCCAGAGGAAAATACACAAGAAGAAATATAAGCATTTGTAATTTTTAAAGCGAAAATAAATAAAAAGATATTATTTTTTACCTTGTTCGGTGGTTTTTAGCTTGCATGTGGTTGTTTTGTTTATTTTTCTCTTCGTTTTAACCCCGAAAAAACCAAAAAAAAGTCAGTCGATGAACATGAGAGATGGCTTTTTGAGATCTTTTTCTTTAGATCTAGCCCTCACCGAGGCTATTTTTCAAAAAAAAAAAGCGTATTTTTGAAGAGGGATCGAACGAGCTTTTGAAAAAACAAAACAAAATTACGCCGCCGATGAACGGCGTCCAACGAGGCGGTGACCGGCCGGAATCTGGGTTCATAGGAACCCAGGCGGCCGTGTTCATCAACCTGAAGAACAGGTTGAGAGAAAATAAAAAGGGAATGGTTTCGATCGGTTTTGGAAAATGGGGGAATGAAAAATTGTGTTTAATTTTTAGGTTTTATACTGACCCACCGACCCGACCCGTGACCGATCCAACTCCCCAGGATCCGCGTGTTTTCAATTAAAAGGGGATAATTTCATTCGCGGTCCCTCGTGTATTTTTTTAAAGCCCATTTTGACCCTTAAATTTGATTTTACCCAGATTCGCTTTCTAATTTTACCACCCAATTTGATTTTCTTTTAATTTGGTCCTTCATTATTATTATTTTTATTTTTATTTTTTATTCTTATTTTTATTTTTACTATTTGTTTCTTTCTGGTTTTTGTTTTTTATATTATTATTATTATTTTCTCCTAACGTTTTATTTATTATATATATATATTATTTTATTTATTTTATTCTTTTTTTTCTAACATTCTTATGAATATATATTTTTATTTTATTACGACTATTATTATTATTTTATTTTATTTATTTAATACTACGTTTTATTATTTTTATTGTATTTTTTATTTTCTTATTTTTGTTTGTGTTTTTTTATTTTCTTTAATTCCATTCTTTTTTCCTTCTTTATTCGTATTTTTTACTTTATTTATTTATTTATTTATTTATTTGTTTTTTTTTTTATTTTTATTTTTTTTTATTTTATTTTATTTTATTTATTTTTTTTTCCTTTTTTTCGGAGATTAGTCTTTTATTATTTAGCTATTTTTTGGGGTTATTTATTTTATTTCACTTCTTTATTTGAATAATTTAACAAATATTTTTCCTTTTGATTCTACATTTGTTAAAATATTAACCCAAGAGATATTGAAAAATACTTCATTTTCATACATGTATAAGGTTACAACCAATGTATTATACAACATCTAGGTGTCTAACTAACTTGTAAACTAACCGAAACCAACAACTAATTCTCTAACTGTTTTCTACACTCCCCCTCAAGTTGAGGGATTAAAATATTTTTCATCCCCAATTTACCCACCAAATAATTGTGTTGTTGTATTCCAAGTGTTTTGGTTAAAATATCAGCAAGTTGTTCTGCAGATGATATATACTCGGCCTTAATTATTCTTTCTTGTATCTTTTCTCTAACAAAATACAATATATATCAATGTGCTTAGTCCTTTCATGAAAGACTGGATTTGCTGAAATTTGCAAAGCTGTTTTACTATCACTGTACAACTTTGCTGGTTTCAAAACCTCAATTTGTAGCTCCTTTAAAATGCCATTTAACCATACTATTTCAGCTGCAACAACTGTCATACTTCGATATTCAGCTTCTGTTGAGGATCTTGCTACTGTATTCTGTTTCTTTGATTTCCAGGATATCAAAGAATCACCTAACTTTATGCAAAAACCAGTAACCGATTTTCGTGACATAGAACATAAAGCCCAGTCTGAATCACAATATGCTATCAACTAGCTTTTGCCTGCTTTCTTCAACAATATCCCCTGTACTGGTTCCTTCTTCAAATACTTGACAACTCTCAATGCTGCCTCTAAATGTGTTCTCTTTGGTTGTTGCATAAATTGACTGAGATGATGCACTGCAAATGTAATATCTGGCCGAGTATGTGTTAAGTATATTAATCTTCCAATTAACCTTTGGAATGTTGACTTTTCTTCAACCAATACTTCATGTCCCTTTTACTGCAAATGCTCATCATATTCTATGGAGGTAAGTTTCAAATTCTTCTCTAAAGGAGTCAAGGCTGGTTTAACTCCTTCAAGACCAGTCTCCTTTAGCAATTCTAGAGCATATTTCCTCTGATTCAACAAAATTCTTTCTTTTGACCTCAAGACCTCAAGTCCCAAGAAATATTTTAGCTCTCCTAGATATTTCATCTTAAAATTGCAATTCAGCATATCTTTCAGCTCATTGATCAAAGCTAAATCATTACCAGTTAATAGGAGATCATCTACATAAATGAGCATCACCACCAATCTTTCACCCTCATTTTTTGTGAACATCGAATAATCAAATTTACTCTGCTGATATCCTGCAGCTGCCAATGCTTCAGTAGGCTTTAAATTCCACTGTCGTGATAATCTTTCACCCTCATTTTTTGTGAACATAGAATAATCAAATTTACTCTGCTAATATCCTGCAGCTGCCAATGCTTCAGTAGGCTTTAAATTCCACTGTCGTGAGGCTTGTTTCAAACCATAGGGAAATTTTTGTAGCCGACAGACAATAATCTCCTCTGGCTGCTAAAACCTTTAGACAGCTTCATGTAGATCTCCTCAAATAGATCACCTTGCAGAAAATCATATGCACGTCCATTTGAAAAAGAGGCCAGTCATGCGTAGCAGCATGAGCTAGAACTGTCCTAATAGTGACTAATTTCACAATAGGAAAGAATATTTCAACAAAATCAACACCTTCCTTTTGATTGTAACCTTTAGCAACAAGACATACTTTAAAACGTTCAACTGTACTAGCAGCTCTATACTTGACACGAAATACCTATTTGTAACCAATGAGAGTCACTCCTTGAGGCAAAGACACTACAGACCAAGTTCCATTGTTTTCTAAGGCTTGAATTTCCTCTTGCATGGCTTTAATCCAAACTGGGTTTAAAATGGCTTCAGAATAGGATTGTGGTTCAAAATTGGAAGAAGTGGTGGCAAGAAAATGTTGAGTATGAACAGGTAAATGATCATAAGAAACATTATGAATAAGAGGGTACTTACAAATGGAAAAAGAAGAAGAAGACTAATTGGAACACACATAATCTTGTAGCCATGTAGGAGGTCTAGATGGTCGAGAAGACTTACGTAATAGAATAACAGAAGACTCCAATGATTTAGGTAAAACTGGTGAGAAAGAATTGCCATAAGAGATAGGAGGTTGGGACAAAATCAAGAATTCAGAATCATCCTTATAAGATTGAGCAGGGGAAAAAGAATCAGATTGTTGAGGAAACTAAAAGGAAAAACATATTCATGGAAAACAACATCAAGATTGACAAAAAAACTTTTTTTCAAGATCAAATAAAATGTAGCCTTTTTGAGTAGATGAATAACCAAGAAATACAGAAGGAATGGCTCTCGAAGCAAACTTATCAGTTAAATGTGTCTGAGTTGTATAAGCAAGACACCCAAACACACGAATGTGAGACAAGGAATGGGGCTTTTTATACAACAATTCGAAAGGAGTAAGCCAAGACAAAACAAAAGAAGGTAACATGTTTATCGGATAACAGGCAACAAGAACACATTCACCCCATAATTTCAGAGGAACTTTAGAATAAAAACGGAGGGCACGAGCAACCTCAAGTAAATACCCATGCTTACGCTCAGCTACCACATTTTGCTTAGGAGTACAAACACAACTCGATTGTTGAATTATTCCAAGAGAGGAAAACAAAGGAGAACAGACCGAGTTAAAGAATTCCGACCCATTGTCACTACGAATTATCTTAACAGAGGTAGAGAACTGATTTTTAATCATCAGAAACAAGGCTTTTAAATGAATAACAACATCACTTTTAAGTCGTAACAAAAACACCCAAGTCATACGACTGAAATCATTAACAACAGTAAGAAAGTAACGATGTCCACTATGAGTAGAAACTCCATATAGACCCCAAAGATCAATATGAAGTAATTCAAAAGGATTATCTATTCTAGAGGTACTTAAAGGAAATGGAAACATGCTTGTCGAGCCATAGGACATACTGAACAGTGTTGAACATCACTAGAATTAAATTTAACAGACTGAAGAACAGACAATTTCTGAATTTTATTAATGGCAGCATGCCCAAGTCTAGCATGCCGCAGTTCAGTAATAGTAGGAGAATGATGATCAACAGGCTTACAAACAGAGTAGTTTGAAAAAGAAGAAACATGAAT